AACCGATACCTAATCGGACTGCAAGGCCGAATGTTCTTGAGACATTCCACGGTTCTGACTTGGCTTAATAAACATGGCGGTTATGTTTTTAATATAAAGTTTGCGGCCTGTGCCTTATGAATTTACTGCGTACATTTTATTGTTTTTCCTACATATAAGATAATTACAACGGGAGTTTATAAAAATAACTACAAAGTGATTTGTAAAGCTAGATGTCCACAAAGAACGGTTTAAAAACCATTCTGCAAAGTTTCTCGAATGTACATTGAATTAAATAAAAACGGATACAGTAATACGTTTTTACAAAAAACAGTTTTAAATAAATGTATTTTACAAGTTATAACCGGTCGACTTGTACATGAGTGATTTTCACTTAATAACAAACAGATCTTACTTTAATCTTGCTGTTTTTAATGTGAAAAGCTGTTAACTTAAAATTTGTCGAGAAAGATTTTGTTATCACAGTCAGTGACACAAGCTCAGTATTTGGAAAAATAATTTCCGACTTCTCCCAACTGGAGTCGAACCTATGTTCTTCTGCCAACACGGGTCGCGACGCTCTACCACTGAGCTACAGGAGACTCGTTTGGAGCTTTAATAGGCCATATAACTTAAGGTTCAAATGGTGACAAAACTTAATACTTATAATCCTTTTATTACATTGAAGTCGTTTGATAAATAAGAGACAATAAGTCGAACATTATCCTTAACTTGCTTAACCGAAAAGCAAACACCAACAAGGTTTTCTCTCTGCCGCCTTCTAGTTTACTTTGTAATTATTTTGTACATAAGCATATTCCGCGTTTTAGGTTCGATTTTCTTAAAACTAGTATCATTCACGAATCATGATGATTTTTTTATTTCTTTTAGAGGAAACCCTTGTTTAGCCAAAAATACTAGTTAATCACCGGCTAGTTTTTAGTTGATTGCTACAATGAACCATTCCTTGAAGAGGAATACTCAGTACGGTTTGGCTTGATTACGAGACTGTACTGCACTAAAGCAGCGAAGGAGATTCTTAAGACCTAGACGATAATTTCCACTGAAAATAAAACAGATACAAGGGTTAATGGCACAATTTGCGCTGGCCATAAAATGGGAAACAATGCAGAAGTATCTGAAGACGCAAGAACTGATCATGTCCGATCCAACAAAGGTCAGAATCCTGCAGATACTGCGGGAAGCCAGCATACTGCAAATCCTAACACAATGGCAATGTACATCTTCAGCACATTTCGTTCCTTTTCGCGCGTTGTTGTTCAGCGTTGACCGATTGCTCACCTGGAGTCTTCTGTGACTTGAGCTTTGCGGTGATGATGATGTACCATATGGCTATCAACACCAATGGGGTATAAGAGAATATAACAAGGATTACTATCAGGTAATGTTCATACGAGGGCTCTCCAAAGACTTCGTTCCACTGCAACGAAAACACCACTCGCCCTCCTGGATATTCAACCAGTTTGTTGGCGAAGAGATATGGGGAAAAGAAAGCCATCGCCACGATCCAAGTGGCGAAAATGAAGAAGGGGCACATCTTTGAACTGATGAGTGGGGCGGAACGGAGGGGAAATACCACAGCACCAAATCGATCAACTGCTATGAGAACCAGGCTCTGAACAGACCACAGTTAAGGAGACAAGGGGTAAGAAGAAAGGCAGCTTACATAAGGCCTCGCCAAGAGAACCACTGATCAACCACGGTGAAGAGTCGACGTACAACTTTGTTAGAGTCTGCGGAAATACGAAAACTGGAAACAGCAGATCGGACATGGCCATGTTTGCTATTAAATAGTTGATGGGTTTTCTCATGGTTTTTGTCTTGTAGACAATTATTCCGATGAAGGAATTTCCCGCCAGCGAAACAATAAGGATCATACAGCAAGCAAAGGTGTATCCTATTTTTGCTGCTGTAGGATTGTAGCTGCCGCTGGATGACTCTGTTCCATTCATCGTTATGTTCAAAGACAAGTTTGCCGACATTTTTGTGGTTTCTTATCCAGCTATTTCTCCCACAAATTATTTCAGTTTTCATCTGAATTTCAGTGTTAAGACGAAGTACCCGCGGGTCTATTTATGTTCTGCTAACTCGAAGCGGAATAATCGTTTGGCTGAATTTATTCACCATGCGTAAGCAATAATAAAATTTAAGACATGACAGGGCGATTCTAGAAGCCTCAATAAATGTTGTAATTGCATCCCTTTACAAATGTAACTCTGTCGTACTTTTTTCTCAAAACATTCTCATTTTGGCCTGAGCCCACATTTGTTAATTAAAAGTTTCTAAATATAACTTTTGAGATGTTAAAAAAGACAAAACAAAGCAACCGACCACAGTTTATTATACTACTACTAAGTGGCAGTTTAACTTGAACACTTTCCATACGGCATTAAACTGAAAATTTCGGCGAGATCAGTATTATTAATTCACTGACCTGTACTCTGTTTTCGGGATATGGGAGAATTCCCCTAACCTAAGTGTTTTTATTTTACACTAGATTTGTTGCATGTCAAAATATTTTTCGCGTCGATTAATATTTGTGAATTCGTTCTAATCGCAAAACTAAGAGGGTTGTAATTACTGTTCCTGCTGTAATTTTTCTCAAAACATTCTCATTTTGGCCTGAGCCGCTTCTAAATATAACTTTTGAGATGTTGGAAGACAAACAAAGCGACCGACCACAGTTTATTATTACCAATCAGTGGCAGTTTAGCTTATTACTACTGATATTAAGTGTCAGTATAGCTTGGAAACCTCATGTTACCATCTGTAATTTATTTCACTAGCTATAACTTGTATAAACAATAACGAACAACAGGATGGTTTTAAAACTAATACCTTATTTTTTCTTGTGTCTGTTGAATAACTTCCTAGATCCCGTATAGCCTTAGCTTATCAACTACAATCTTTCGTGAACCTTACAATACACAACAGTATGAACGGGAGAGGGTTTCTTTTCAAGTTTTTATTTCCGAAAAAACGTTTTATTAGCAATTAGTTTTTTCACAGCGAGCATAGGAGGAAAAAAGGAAAACAGGACAACTTAGCGCGCTGTATGACAAGCAATGTTGCGGGTTACGTTCGACAGGGAAGGGAGATTTTCCCAGTTAAGGCAAATACTTAAAGTTTGTTCCCTAGACCTTGAACTTGAATGGTGATTTCTAAACAAATTACGTGTCTGAGGGAAACCATCCGGGCACCGCACGTGATAACATGGTGCATATGATTGACAGAAGCTTCCTGTGCAGGCTTCTCACACTGTCAACAAAGAGTAATTAACTCGTAATGTGTTCTAGGAGTGTTTAATTAACGGTTGGCACAAATGTATTTTGAGATTATGCAAATACTGGGCAGATTAATATTCGTGCAGTTTTCTATGATATAAATCCAAGAAAGAGACTTCTAGTATATAAACCGATACCAGAAGCTTATCACCTAAGCTTCTGCCGATACCTAATGACTTGTAAGGCCAAATGTCTTGAGAATCAGGTTCTGACTTTGGGTTACCCGGGGTTATTTATGTTCTGCTGACTCGAAGCGGAATAATCGTTTGGCTTGAATTTATTCACCATGCGTAAGCAATTATAAAATTTAAGACATAACAGCGCGATTCTAGAAGCCTCAATAAATGTTGGTGTTATACATTAAAGTCACTATCTCTTTTCTGATTGGCCGACAGCGTACAGTGAATTTCGAAATCAGTGCCTTTGAAAGCATCTACGTCATCTACCTGCAGACTACATGTGTACAATAATCATGTCAAGGACACTCAAGATCACGGGTAATCAAGAGTAATCATGTCAAGTTCGAGCGCTTTGCGTTGCTTGCCGCTTAGTAAACAACATCGGTGGCAGAAGCATTAGTTTTTGCGTTGAATGCATAATAAAACAATTATACTCGGTTTTTGTGATATCCAGAATAATCAAAGTCTCGGTAAGAGTTATCAGCCTCAGCCTTCGGCTTCAGCTGATAACTTTTACCTCGACCTTGATTTTTCTGGATATCGCAAAATCTTCATCCAATTAAATTAACAATTATTCCATGAGCCCGCGTTGGATACGAAATGATAGATATCTCGTATCCAACAAGGGCGAATGGAATAATTGTTTTATTAAAAACTTTAGTAACTTTAGGTGAAAACTTCGTTATTACTTTTTAAACAAGACTATAAATCAACTGAGTGATTTTTCAGTTCGATTAAATGAAGCATGATTTGTATGAGAACGGCGGCAAACGTCTGGCGACCGGCGCTGTCTTCGGTTTGTTCGGTAACAAGCTGAATGAAAATAGAGCTGGTAGACTGAATTTTCTTCGGATTAATATTCGTGTTTCTTCTAAAGTTTCGTATATTCTGGAAAATTGGGCAAAATGTGGAGCTGAACATTTTCATTTTACAAGTTGAACGGGTTGTTTATACGGCGAGCAAATCGTGCACGTCTCAGTGCAGAATTGTGTTGAGACGAGCGAAACTGATGCCAGTTGAAATCAAGTTCACTGAAGTAAAGAGCAAAGGAAAGAGTCAATATCTAATGTACATGGATGGAGAGAAAAAGAGTGACCTTCCAAGATAATTTCACTGTGAAGTGATCCGGCTTCGATTGTACCATCGCCAACAACGCTTGACGAACTGTGATATTGTTTTCATTGCTTCGTCTCTGATGGATATTTATTGTGCTGATTTGAAAGCTTAGTCCAGCTGGAATTAACAAGCCACTTCGAAATACAAGGTAACACTACTGAATGGTTTAAGCTTAAATATTTTGTAGTGTAATTCATTCATTTTGAACGAATTTGTCAAATTGTAAATAGCTGTTGAGAAAATAAATAAAGAAACGAGGTCAATTTTCACTGTTTTTAGTCATTTTTTATGTTATTAGAGTGCAGATTTGTATTGGTTTCCGGACTTTCCCGTAAATTGTTTCAGGCTTCCTTTTATAAACGGTGCTCGTTCAGTTGCATTTGTTGTACAATTACAAGCATTTGCCATTAACTATTTCGTTCCAAACTTTGCTGCATTTTCCAGCAGTTTTGTTACTTCGTCTCCAGTCAATTCTGCCGTGAAACAATTTTCTCTGGCGGCCATTGTTCCTTGGAGAGAGAAAAAAATTTCAGCTCTCTTTCTCGCCGATGCGTTCATGGTATAATGGCTCATATCCCATGGCCTCTAAGCCAATCAAAACTCTAGAAATGCATTATCCAATGGTTCAGTTTTTAATAATTGTTATTATAATCCATCAAATATTTTTCTCGGCGCGCGATTGGTCTAAACACGTCACGTGACGCAGTTAAAACTGGGGAATATATAAACAATAGCCTCCATTTGGCGAGGAAATATGCTCGGATATTTGTCCTCCGGATACAGTGGAATCTCGACTTACGGCCACCTCTTTTTGGCCCTTTTATTATGCTCGGCAGGGAAGGGAGGTTTTCGCAGTAAAGGCAAATACTTAAAGTTTGTTTCCTAGACCTTGAACATGAATTGCGATTGGTTCCTTCAGCACTCTGACTTAACAATAGTCGTATGATAAAACAAATCACGTGTCTGAAGGGACAACATCCGGGCACCGCACGTGATAATATC